TTCTCTCTCATCCTGGATGTTTCTCTCTCTCTTTATCTATTTATCTATGAATCTATCATCTATCTATCTATCTATCTATCTCTGCCTTCCTCTCTGAAAATCAATAAAAATATATATTTAAAAATTTGCCGAAACCGGTTTGGCTCAGTGGATAGAGCATCGGCCTGCGGACTGAAAGGTCCCAGGTTCGATTCCGGTCAAGGGCATGGACCTTGGTGGCTGGCACATCTCCAATGGGGGGTGTGCAGGAGGCAGCTGGTCGATGTGTCTCTCTCATCGATGTTTCTGGTTCTCTATCCCTCTCTCTTCCTCTCTATAAAAACAAAACAAAACAAACAACCAATAAAATATATTTAAAAAAGACTTATTTAAAATTTTTTTTTTTAATTAAATGGAAGGACGGGCGCCCACCACCCCATCTTACAACCCCGGGAGGTGCGACGATAACAACTCCAATCGCTGGAAATTCCTTCTGTTTGAGCCAGGGGAGGTGAGAGGGACTTCCCTGAGCAAACAGGCGGCCGTTAACTCCCTCCGAGTCTAAAAATAAGACTCTCCTTGGGAGGGCGTCAAAAAAAGGGCTCAAGGTCCTCTGGGAGAGTCAGGGCCCAAGCATGTCACCGAACAGGTCCGATGACAAGGCCTAGGTACCATCCGCCCATCACTCCCCGGACCCGCCTCTGGGGCCCCCACTGAGCACAGGCTGTGCCTCCGGGGGTGAGGGGGGAGGTGGGGGGACTGGATCGCAGGACCCCGGAGCCCACGACGGCTCTGGGGACCTCAGGACGCCCCCACAGACGCCCCGGGGCAGGGAGTCCTGCGCTGAACACGGTCAACGGGAAGACGTGGCCCCCGCTGGACCCGTAAGCTGGGCCAGGGTCATCGAGGCTCCGCCCCCCGCCCTGAGCTTGGGATGGAGCCCTTCCTCGTCCTTCCTGCTCCCGGAGCCGCTCCCAGGAAGACACAGACACCCCTGGGACCCGGTGGGGGACGGGGGACGGACCGGCCAGCTCGGGCACCCCGGGTAAGTGGCGGGACCCGCCAGACGGGCCGAATGCCGACGGTGCCCCTGACCTGCGGGGGGCGTAAGACCGAACGCACACGGACACCCTCCTGATCGGCCCTCTTCCTCCCTCCTTAGCACACGGACCCCGCCTGGGCCGGCCGCCCCACGGGAATGGCCTTCCCGCATCCTGGGACGGACGTGAGGAGCCCTCCGAGGTATCAGGGGGCGGGAGGCCCTGCCAGGGGGTCCCGTCCGGCTGTGGGAGATCTCAGGGTGCGGGGGGCACCCCCTCTTCCGGGGAGGGGTGCACACGGGGCTCCAGGCGAGGCCCACGGGGAATCGGGGGTTTGGTGACCTCTGGCATGGGTGGGGGGGTCCGGGTAATGACCCCCCGTTTGGCTCGGCATCGGGGATGGGGTGCAGGCGGGCGAGGAGGGCGATGGTTTCTGGGTACGTTTCCTCCGTGGGTTGGACTCACTGCCCCTCGCCCCTGCTTTCCCGCCGAGAGACAGAAAGCATGAGCCCCCTGGGGTTCTGAGGACCCGACAGAACAGTCAGGATATAAACCTACCCTGCGGGTGGGGCTTCCTCTTAAAGATATACAGAGAGCCCTAATCAGTGTGGCTCAGTGGATAGAGCGTCGGCCTGCGGACTGAAAGGTCCCAGGTTCGATTCCGGTCAAGGGCATGGGCCTCGGTTGCAGGCACATACCCAGTAGGGGGTGTGCAGGAGGCAGCCGATCGATGATGTGTTTCTCTCACATTGATATTTCTCCCTGTCTCTCTCTCTCTTCCACTCTCTCTAAAAGTCAATGGAAAAATATCCTTGGGTGAGGAATAAAAAAAAAAAAAGAAGAAAAAGAAAAGAAAAGAAAGAGCCTAAACCGGTGTGGCTCAGTGGATAGAGCGTCGGCCTTGCACTGAAGGGTCCCGGGTTCGATTCTGGTCAAGGGCATGGACCTTGGTTGCAGGCACATCCCCCGTGGGGGGCCGTGCAGGAGGCAGCTGATGGATGTTTCTCTCATCATCGACGTTTCTAGCTCTCTATCCCTCTCTCTTCCTCTCTGTAAGAAATCAATAAAATTTATTTTTTTAAAAAAAGAAAGAAAGAAAGAAAAACATCCATGATGAGAATCATGGACCGGCTGCCTCCTGCACGCCCCCCACTGGGAATGGAGCCCACAACCCGGGCATGTGACCTCCTGGTTCATAGGTTGACGCTCACCACTGAGCAACACCAGCCGAGCGGGTGGCTACCATTTTTACCCATAACCTGACGATGCTCAGACCCCAGCCAGATCATGGGGACACGGCTTCGCTGTCTTTCTGGGGCCTGGATGCTGGCACTCTGGCTGCCTAATGCCTTTCTCGGGGGTTCTCTCGACGGGAGAGAAAAAGATTGATTTTCTGAGGCCGCCACTCGGGGACCACAGCCGGGGCCGGGCAGCGGTGACCTCCCCGGCCGCTGGCCGTCTGGTTCGGACTTCCTCCTCTTGGCCGGGGGCCCGCAGACATTTCGACAGCTTGACTAAGCCTCGTCGCCGCTCCCTGCCAAACCCGCCGGCCGCTGCCAGCAGCGGCCAGTAGCTTCTCAGAGGCCCGTGGTGCCAGCACCAGCCCCGAGCTGGAGTCTGCTCTCGCCCTTCCGGGCGGCGGGGCCCGTGTGCACAGGGGGAGGGTTTTGAATATTACCTCACCATCCTTCACCGAGAAAAAATGTTCCCAGCCAGCCTCTCTTGTCACAGAGGAGTCGAGGTCATACTGAGCCGGGGCTGGGTGAGCCCACGGATTTCAAAAAAAATGGTTTGGAGAAATCAACACTAACCTCCAAAATTTTTTTTAATTTATTATTTTTTTAAAAGATATATTTGTATTGATTCCAGAGAGGGAGAGGGAGAGAGAGAGAGAGAGAGAGAGAGAGAGAGAGAGAGAGAGAGAGAGAGAGATATTGAGAAATACATCCCTGATGAGAGAGAATCAGGGATCAGCTGCCTCCTGCACGCCCCACACTGGGGACAGAGCCTTCAACCGGGGCCTGTGCCCTGAACGGGAATCGAACTATGACCTCCTGGTTCATAGGTCAATGCTCAACCACTGAGCCACTCCGGCCGGGCTGCAGGCTTATTATTATTCCCACGATTGCCTTTTTTACTACAATGTGAACCCCCGGAGAGCGGGAACTTTGTATCAGTGGTACCCTCGCTCTTTAGAACCGTGTCTAGCACATGGATGGAGCCTTTTTTTAAAAATATGAATTTAAAAAAATATTTTATTGATTTTTTTACAGAGAGGAAGGGAGAGGGATAGAGAGCTAGAAACATCGATGAGCGAGAAACATCCATCAGCTGCCTCCTGCACTCCCCCTACTGGGGATGTGCCCGCAACCAATGTACATGCCCTTGACCGGAATCAAACCTGGGACCTTTCAGTCCGCAGGCAGACACTCTATCCAGTTTCGGCTAAATTAATTTTTTTATTGTCTAACGTTTTACCCCCTTCCCCAGCCATTCCCACACCAGACAAGCCCCGCCCCACAGTGTCTGTGTCCATTATGCTAGTATGCATGCAGACAAGTCCTTTGGTTGCTCTCTAAATCTCTTCTGCCCCCCAGCCCTACCATTTGACTCTGGTTCTATTCTTGTTCATCAAATTACGTTGATCATTATATCCCACCTATGAGTGCGATCATGTGATGTTTCTCTTTCTCCGACTGGCTTATTTCGCTTAGCACCGAGGCTGGCAAACTGCTGCTCTTGAGCCACAGGCAGTTCTCTGGCCCCTGGAGGGTGGCTCTTCCACAAAATACCACTGGCTTAGCATCGTGCTCTCCAGTTCCTCCACGTGGACAGACACTGCCTGAGCCGCTGGGAGCCACTTCTCCAGGGGAGACCTTGAATTCTTTTTTCTCCCTGAAAACGAGCTTGCTAAATCTTAATTCCGGGGCGTAGCCTTGGCATTTGAAGTATGTGAGCTGTCATCAGTTTATGCCCGGAATCCACGTGGGTGAGGGAGGAGGCGATAACGGTGGAATGAAGACTTCTTATCTCCTTCCATCCCTGACCACCTGCTCTCCTGTCACCCAGGGGCTGGCTCATCCTGGCCAGAGGGCACACACCTGGCCTCCCCCAGGTCACTGTATTCCTGATTGCTGGGCTGAGATTGGAAATCCAGGTGCGGGGCCCTCCACACCGCCCCCCAGAGGCCACCTCCGCCAATGCGCGCCCAGGTGCGGAGGCGGGAAGGGCCTGGCGTGGGCATTCTCAAAGGAGCACCTCTGCGAGGCTCCTGGGCTGTATAACTATATTATAATTATGTTATAATATATGCACAACCTCTTTAATGGAGGTCGCGGGTGCAAATCAGGTTGTCCACTCTCCCGATGCGTCCCAGGAACCACTGCGGTCCAGGCTGGGACTCAGGTGGTTGAAACAGAAGGAAGAGGACGTCACCCACTCGGATCACTAAATGCGCCCTTTGCTAGTGGGGCGCATTTAAAAATAAGCGAACAACAACAACAAAACCAAAACTCAAAGTTGTGTAGCTGGGAGGGAAGTTGTCCCGCTAGCCAGGGGTGGGGGTTGGGGAGGGGGGCAGAACGGCGCGCCCCGCACAAACAGGCCGGGCAGCAGCAGCGATGTGCGGGAGGGGGGTCCCCCAGGGCGGCCTCGGCCCCGGAGCGAGGCTGTGGGGGTCCCTCCGCCGCGCAGGGGCGCCCAGAGGTGGCCCGCAGGGACCACCTGGGAGGCTAGAGCTGGACGCGCGCTGCCCTGGGCTCCGGGGAGGAGTGGGCGTGGGCAGTCAGGGTGGGGGCGTGGCTAGGGGAGCGGGGGCGTGGCCATACTCGCAGGGGCGTGGCCATACGCGCGAGGGCGCAGCCAGCGGTGGGGGCGTGGCGAGGGACGCCGGGGGCGTGGCCAAAAGTGCGAGGGCGCAGCCAGCGGTGGAGGCGTGGCCAGGGGCGCAGGGGCGTGGCCTCGGCGCCCCGCCCTCCCCTCGGGGATGCCGGGATGTTTACACTCCTGACAGCGGCGGCCGCGGGAGGAGGAGGCGCGGGAGCCGCGGGAGGATGGGCCGCCGCTAGGCTCGCTCTCGGGACGCGCGGGGCCGTGCGAGGCGGGGAGGCCGCGCCTGCAGCGTCCGGCGGGGGCGGCGCGGCGCGAGGTGGCGTTCGGCTCCGGGCGGCGCAGTCACAGCCCCGCTCCATCCCCCGGCCCAGCGGGCCTTCCCGCGGCGCCGCCTGGCCGGGCCGCCCGCCCGGGCCCCTCGCGGGCAGGAGGCCGGACGCCTCCCAACTTCCTGGTGAGTCGCTGCGGGGTCGCGGGCGCGGGCGCGGGGCTGGAAGGGCGAGTCGGGGCCGTTGGGGCGGCCTCCGGGCCCCGCGGCCGGCCGGTCCGCCGGGAGGTGGGGCGAGGCGGGGCGCGCGGCGCCGAAGCCGGGGGCGGGCGGGGCCCCGGTCGTGGGCAGCGGCCGAGGCTCGGCGCCCGGCACCGGCTCCGACGGCCGAGGCCGCGGCCACGGCGGCGGCAACAGGTCTTGGGTTTCAGGAGCCGAGGAACTTGCGCGAAGTCCCGCCTCCCGCCGCCCGGCGCGCGCTGATTGGCCGCGCCGGGTATTTATCCGCCGCTGATTGGCGGGGCTCCACTGTCAGGTTGCGGCCGCCGCGGGGCCGGCCGAGCGGAGTTCCGCGGCGGAGGGCGGGGGTGGGGGGGAGCGGATGGGGGTCCCCGGGGGCTCGGGGGGCGCGGGGAGGACGGGACCGCCGGCCGGTTGGACGGTGAGCTTCCGTGGGGGCGCCGTTACGGGAAGGACGGCGGGAGGGAGGGAGGGAGGGACGGAGGGATGGCCAGGCCCCGGCGGGCACGGGGGTGGGGTGGGGGTGCCGGGGGATGGTGGTTAAGAAAGACATTGAACTTGGAGGCCAGAGCCGGAGGGACGAAGAGGAGCCTGAAGGGACAAGGAGGAAAGTGGGGGGGGGGGGGGGCACGCTGCCCGGGACGGGGTCACAGAGGATGATGCTCCGGGAGGTCGCCCCGTGCACCGCAGGCCTCGGGCCGGGAAGTAGCCAACCAATGGACCCGCCATGGGGCGGGGGGAGGATTAGACCTTGAGGGGGTTGAAGAGTGAGGACTTAATTATTATCCTACAGGAAGACATGCCCCCGCCCAACAGCGTTACAGGAATGAAGGGACTTTCTTGCTTCTTTGGGGGGAATATATATATATATATTTCATTGATTTCTTTTTTTTTTTTTTACAGAGAGGAAGGGAGAGGGAGAGTCAGAAACACAGATCAGCTGCCTCCTGGACCCCCCTCCCCTCTATCCCCCCACCCCACCCCACTGGGGATGTGCCCGCAGCCAAGGTCCATGCCCTTGACCGGAATCGAACCTGGGACCCTTCAGTCCGCAGGCCGACGCTCTGTCCACTGAGCCACACTGGCCAGGGCTTCTTGCTCCTTTTGAGACGGGTGATCGGGTGATCGATCCTAAGGATGCGACCTGAGAAACCAGGCGCCCTGGTCCTCAGGGCCCCTGCACCCCGTCACTGTTACATCCACTGGGGCGACCCCCACAAGCACTGGCGCCGGTGCGCCCCTAACCAGCGGGGCAGCGATGCATCCTGGCACTCCCGCTGGACAGGATGGGGCTCTGTGTGGGGCCGGAGTCTCCATTTGAATCAGTGTGTGTGGGTTTAAGAGGCGGTCCCCCTTAGCTGCAGGGTTTGGTTAGGGTTAGGGTTAGTTAGAGGCCGTTACCCTTAGCTGCTGGGGCAGAAGAGGACCACTGAGGCCGGTGTGTGTGTGTATGTGTGTCTCTCTGTGTGTATGTGTGTATATGTGTGTCTGTGCATGTGTGCATGTATGTTTGTGCATGTATATGTTTGTATTGGTGTGTGCCTGTGTGTCTCTCTGTGTGTGTATATGTTTGTGTGTGTGTACTTGTGTGTATTTGTGTGTCTCTATGTCTGTGTGTGTCTATGTGTGTATGTATGTGTATAAGTGTGTGTATTTGTGTGTGTGTGTGTGTGTGTGTGTGTGTGTGTGATATTTGGGACAGCAGGAAACGGGAGTTGCAAAATGTCCTTAAGTGCTGAGTGCGAAATGGCAACATTAAAATTTCCTTTCCAGTTCGCTGGTGGTTATTTTTTCCCAAAGGCCCGTGCACGGGAGACGGTTTGCTCAGAAGTTGAGTCTTTCCGTTTCCCGGGGAGGAAGCCGCCCCGCAGCCTCCTCCGCGGGTCCGGCCTGGCCGCTGGGGGGGCCCGGCCGCGGGAGGGGGGGACGGCGGGGGGACGGCGGGAGGGGAGGGCCCGCGGCGGCGGAGGCACCGGGGCTCGGGGAGCCGGGCGCCCCGGGAGGCGCGGGCCTGACATTCCGCCCCGCCGCGCGAGGCCCCGCCCCCGGCGCACTGACGGCCCCCGCAGCCAATGAGCGGCGAGGACAGCGTGGTTCCGCTCGGGGCGGGACTTCCGGGCGGGCGGGGTGGGCGGGGCCGGAGCGCCGGGAGGGAAGTGCGGCGCCGGGACGGGCGCACGTGGAGGGGCGGGCGCGCGGCCCCGCTGGTCTCCCCCGGTCCGTCCGCGTCCGCCCCGCTCCCCGCCGCGCCCGGGCCTCAGGGCCGGGGAGCGGGCCGGCGGGCGAGCCGGACCTGGCCGCGGGGACTGTCGGGGTTTTGCCCCGAAGTTTCCCCAAAAGTCAGACCAGGTCCTGGGCGCCTCCCGCCGGGGCCGCCTCTGCGCTCAGGGCCTCTGGCCGGAGCGGGGCGGGGCAGCTGGCTTTGTGCTTTCACAGCAGACCCTCCCGCACCCATTCCGCCCGCGAGGACTGCTGTGCGGGGCGCGTGTGTGTCCCTCCCTCCGCCCTGCGCGCCGGGCGCACACCGCCCTCCTGCCCCGCTGACCGCCGCCCGGAGCTCAGCGGCCCCCCGGCCGCCGCTGCGCTGTGACCTCGGCGCCCCTGCGCCGCCGGGCCCGGTCTCCTCCGCTCTGAGGAGCAGGAGGGCGTCTCTGTAAAGGCCTCTCCCCCATGCCCGTCCCCTCCCCGTCTCTCTCCTGAGGACCCTCCGCGCTGGCCCAGCTCCTGCCGCTCTGGGCGCTGTGATCGCCGTGCCCACAATGGCGTGGTTCCCTGTGTGAACGCTGTGTATGGGGTTGGGAGCAGTTCCCCTTAGCTGCTGGGGTAGGAGAGGGCCGCAGGGGCCGGGCCGGGGCGGGGCGGGGCGGGGTGAGATTTTGGATGGCAGGAAACGGGAGTTGCAGAATATCCTTAAATGCTGAGTGTGAAATGGCAACAACATTCCTTCCTCGCATACACGTGATTATTCCCCCCCCCCCCCACTCCCCATGGTTAAAATAATTCCTCGTTCTCATATTGAAAAATTGCTCTAGTTTTTGTCGTGGTTGTAACGATATTACGTTATGATTAGGAAAATCAAATAGATATGCTTGTGAAAAGTGGTTAAACTTCTACCAGTGAGGCACTGCAAAGCTTCCATTGTCTGTCCTGCCTGCCTGCAGCCTGCAGTCAGATAACGGGGTTTGTTCGCATGCTGTCACCCAGGCGAGGAGAGGGGGTGGGCAGGTGGGGGTGAGGGGGAGGGCAGGTGAGGGGGTGGGCAGGTGGGGGTGAGGGGGAGGGCAGGTCCTTCATCTCAGAGGTAAATGGAAAGGTAGTCATTGTACAGGAAGAGTGCGCACCGATGGGTTAATTTGTGGGAAAGAATTCATGTTTTACTCTGTCTCTAACAGCAACGCACAAGTTCACTTCTCTTGTGTTCCTCATGGTCTTTGGTGTTAAATGGTGTGGTGGCCAGTGTCAGCGTTCAGGGTAGTACGTGGGCGGGTGGAATATTCAGTGAGAACTGGCGTTTACACGTACCTAACATTAATATTTTCCGTGTAGCCCTAAGACAGCGTTTTATTATAATAAAGCTTACACATTCAGTGAGTATTTTGATCGATGATGGCACGTTGTTTTAGCTTCACTTTGTCACTCGATGACCTAGATCAGTGGTCGGCAAACTCATTCGTCCACAGAGCCAAATATCCACAGCACAACGACGGACATGTCTTTGGAGAGCCACAATTTTTAAACGTAAACTTCTTCTAACGCCACGTCTTCCACATAGACTCGCCCAGGCCGTGGCGTTTTGTGAAAGAGCCGCCCTCCAGGGGCCAAAGAGCCGCATGTGGCTCGCGAGCTGCAGTTTGCCTACCGCGGACTTAGAGTCTGCACCCTCTGATGAGGAGGAGTTGTGTCTCGTTAGCAGTTCTCCCCCCGCCCCTGGCTCCTCCGTTCTTTGGAGCAGGACCTGCTGTTGGATGGTTGGCGGGAGTCTGAGCTGTGCGATCTGTGATCCGGGAGCCGCCAGCCGGGACACAGTCCCCACCGGGAAGGGGCAGCTATTTTGGGGGCCCCAGACCCGAACCTTGACTGCCATGGCCCAGGGAGCTGTGGGCCGGCTCAGCACCTGAGTGTGGTCCGATCCGGGTGTGACAGGTGGGCGTGTGGGAAGCAGGCACCATGGTCTCATGTGCGGGCCGGGAGCGGCCGGTCTGCGGTGGGATCGCCTTTACCGTAAGGGGCACAGATGTCGTGCTGCCCGCGCTGCCTGGGCCACACCGGGGGAAGCCACAAGGCCTTTTAAAGGAAGATACTAGCATCTCATTGAGAAGCGATTGATTGATTGATTGATTGATTGGCTGTAGAGTCCGTCCTGCTGCTGCGATGTCTGGCCAGGAGAGCCCTGCAGCCTCCTGTGTCAGGGTGAGAGCCGCCTCTGCCGGCCGCGGTAGCCAGGCCTCGGCTCAGGAGCCTCAGCTCACCGCGCCGGCACTAGCTCTTTAAATCGCGGCTGTCACTCCGTCACAGCTGGAGGCAGGAGCACAGCTGTTTCCTAAGTAACGCTCAGCAGCCACAGATGGGCTCCCTCCAGCCCGGGGTGTCCCCGCAGGGGGCGCTGCTCCCTCCTCCGTGGGTCCCTGCAGTGTCTCTCCGCCGGGCACCCAGGCTCCCCACTTCCTGGCCCCCGGGCCTGCGGGCAGCACCAGCCCTCCGTCCTGCCTCTGTCGGTGGCGGCGTTCAGGAACGCCGGGATGAGTAACAGGCTCCTTTTCCATGACCGCCTTCTCCCCCGATAGATGCGGTGACCGGACAGGCCTTTGCATGCCGGGCGCTCCCCGTGCCAGGCTCTGCTCGCCTCCTTGGCTGCTCAGAGGCCCACCCCACGCAGGACGAGGAAGAGGCACTGGGAGAAGAGATCCCCGGGTCCTGGGCGAAGTCCAGGCTCACCTCTGTGTCTTCCCCCGCCGGCCCCAGTCTGAGCCTCGGGGCTGAGCTGGTCCGGGACTGGGTCCGAGCGGCGAGCGCGTGGCCTGGGAGGGCGCAGAGGGGTTCGGGGAGGCATGGAGGCTCCTGCACGCGGCCGGTGTGGGCGAGGCGCTCCGGCCTCCGCAGGATGTGGCCGCTCTGAGCCGCCTCAGGCCCGACCCCAGTGCCGCCTGCGGCTCCACGGGCGTCCGCTGTGCACACGCAGGCTCTGCCTTTCCTAGAATCATCCGCCCGTTCCAGGAATCGCCTGCTTCCTGGAAGAGGTGCAGCCACACAGGGCTCGGCATGTGTGTGCGTGTGTGTGCATGTGTGTGCGCACACACAATAGGCTGGACTCACACTGATCCCCGGACTTCCGAAACCCGAGCTCTGGAACCTTCTCCTTGTGCAATCCTGGGCGAGGGACAGGACGTGCCTCTGCAGTCCACTCTTCTGTGATCTGGAATGACTCCCCACACCCCCTCCTCCCCCGGAATGTTCTGAGGAGATCCCGGACAGACGGAAGATGCGTGAGGAGCCGGTTGCTGGCATTCTGCTGGGAGGGCTCACAGGAACGGGGAGCTTGGAAAGCCTGGAAGCCACGGCCCCGGGACACCCCCTTCCCCCGGGGCCTGCAGCTTCACACTGCGGGTGCCGTTTGCAGCTTTCACTGACACTAAAGCTCACGTCCCATTCACTGAAGCGGTGGCGCAGGACGCCCCTGAGGCTCCGGCGGGCGAGGGTGAGGGCTCTCTCTGCCCTTGGCGGGGGAGGCAGCTGCCCGCGGGCCAGGCGGGAGCGGGCCGGGTCGGGGCCAGGACTCGTTTGTCCTGTTACTCCACACTCTGCCCCTTTGGCATAACCCCCAGCGCTCCCCACAATCCTGACCCTGACGTACCTCCTGATCATCATCATCCTTTAGGCGTGTGGCCTGCTTACCGAGCTGCAGCCCAGCGAGGCCAGATGGAACCGTTATTTTTTCCTCTGAGCGAGCTCACCTGCAGGTTCTAGCCAAGGTAACGGTGGAGGAGTCATTTACTAAAAATAAAAGTGTGAATAAGTAACGGGCTTGCCAGTCGCAGGGTTTCCGCGTGGGCGTGCGGGGGGAGAGGCGGTGTGAGCGCCTGGGCGGACGCGTTCCTGGGGGGAGAGGCCTGTGGGCTCGGTGACAGGTGTCCCATGAACTGAGCGGGAGTCCGGGCTGTGGGGATGAGATAGACAGACAGACCGGGATCTCAGGGCATCGCAGCGTCTCTGAGTGAGGACACAGCTCCCCGCACCCACAGCTCTGCTCTGGGCGGTCAGCGGCAGACACGGTCGCTCCGAGCAGGGCGAGCCGCGTGCTCCTGGGCGGTGGGTCCCCGTACCCATCCCCGGGCCCCGGAGGGCTGGTCCTGCCTTATCGCCGGTCGTCGCCATGGCAGCTGGGGGAGCACCACTCCCAGCCGGAGCCGCTCGGAGCCGGCGGCCAGCGAACTGGATGTGCGCAGCGGCTCCGCTGCTCCTCCCGCAGGAAACGGAGCAGGTGGGCTCCCGGGACCCACAGGGCCTGGGGGCCGTGCGGTCGGAGCCTGATGCTGTGCGAGGTGCCGGGCGTTAGGAGGGGGATTCTGGGCAAAAGCGGGCTAAGGGCCTCTGCTCCTGTTCCCCTGCTTCCCCCTAAGGCAGTGGTCGGCAAACTCCTTAGTCAGCAGAGCCAGGTATCAACGGCACAACGACGGAAATCTCTTTGGAGAGCCGACGTTTTTACACTTAAACTGCCTAGGTACATACATTGTTGTTAACTTAGTTCGGGGACTCCTAAGCTGGGCGTTGCTAAACCCTCAAGGGGCCAAAGAGCCGCGTTGACCAGGCCCTAAATGGTTTGTGGGAGAACCTCCTCCGGGACACGAAGCAAACGGAGTTCTCACCTGGGGGGCTGGACCCAGACGCCCGCTTTCCCGCAGAAGAGATGGCTGCTGGGAAGTTGCCCGCAGAGGGTGGCTGAACTTACAGAACATTCACTCAGCACAGAGCTGACCAGCCGCCCCTCTCCGATGGCACCGGCCTCGTTAAACCTCCGTCAGCGATGAGAAGCGGGTGTTCGGACGCTGGGTTTTGTGTAACACACACACACACACACACACACACACACACGGTGAAAGTGTGATTGTAAAACACCTTTCTGTGTGTGACGTTCGCGCACTCAGTGCAGGTCGGTGCTCTGCAGGCTTTCCTGCTCGGTGGGAACAGAGGGCAGCCCTGAGCAGACGGCCGTGCGGAAGGCTGGGGTGCGGCCGGCACTGGCCCCGAGCAGCTGGCTGCACTGAACGTGCTGGACGGACGCTGGTCCCAGGGGTTAGAGCGGGCGTGGTCTGGCGGTCAGCTGTCAGAGGAGGGGTTCTGGGGCGCGCTCCGTGCTGGCCTCCCATCCTAGCCTGGGATTTTCTCTTGTTGGAGGTCAATCATATATTAAATACGTAGTCTCTTCAGTCTTGTGTGTGTGGGTGTGGAGAGAGAGAGTGTGTGCGGGGTGTGTGTGTGAGAACATGCCTGCTCTCTCATTACTGCCCAAGGTTATGGTCCTGATTGAAGACGAGGTGAGCGTTGTGGTCGGTGTTCTCGCTGCCCGGCCTGCCTGTGGCTTTGAAGCTCCCGTGAAATGAGACCCAGCTGATCATCCGGTTCCCCATGGGGCTGGGCCTCTCTGCAGCCTTTGTCCTCAGGGCCTGGGGCCCCCACACACGCGTGGTGCTGGCTGCTGCAGGACACAGGAGGGCACCAGAGGGCACAGGAGGGCACCGGAGCGGGTGGCAGTGGCTGCAGGGCTGCCTGGGGCAGGGGATCTGTGCTGGCCCAGGAAGCACTGGGCCAGGGAACTGGGGTGTCCAAAGCTCAGAAACGGGCCGGCTTGGCAGAAAGAGGCGGACATGAGGCTGTGAGTCACTCCCTGGGGCGGCCCCGTGGCCTGTGAAACGCGGCTCCGGACGGGCAGCCACTGCAGACCGGCCTGAAACCTGAGCCGCTGCTGCTGCTGTCTGAGCCTCGGGCCTGGCCGTCTGAGCCGCTCCTGGCCGTCGGTGGCCGCTCCTGGCCGTCTGTGGCCGCTCCTGGCTGTCTGTGGCCGCTCCTGGCCGTCTGTGGCCGCTCCTGGCTGTCTGTGGCCACTCCTGGCCGTCTGTGGCCGCTCCTGGCTGTCGGTGGCCACTCCTGGCCGTCGGTGGCCGCTCCTGGCTGTCGGTGGCCACTCCTGGCCGTCGGTGGCCGCTCCTGGCCGTCTGTGGCCGCTCCTGGCCGTCTGTGGCCGCTCCTGGCCGTCGGTGGCCGCTCCTGGCTGTCGGTGGCCGCTCCTGGCTGTCGGTGGCCGCTCCTGGTTCTGTCCCACCCACCGGCACCTGGCCGCTCCGGGCCCCTCCCGGCCCCTGGGCCGCGCTGGGCCGCCCAGGTGAGGTGAGTGTGGTGCTGGCGACGTGGCTCTGACACGTGGTCTTTGCTTGCAGAGCGCTGACGGTCCTCTTCCTCCGGACGATGGATGAGAAGCCGCAAGGCCTGCAGGGGCCACCGGCCCCCCAGTTCCAGCCTCAGGTAAGGCGGGTCCGGGCGCTCGCACCTCTGTGCTTTGGACGGGGGCAGCCGAGGCTCACAGGAGAGGCCGCGTGTGGTCACACCGCGCGTGTTCTCATGTCGAGTACGTGGTTCTCACGTCGGTCCCCGTGTCACTCGGACACACAGTCCGTAGGAACAGGGCACTTTTGAAATATTCCCGGAGATTTTAGGGAGATAATTTCTCAAACGGAAGAAGCACAATTAGTGAGACTTGGTTGGCACACGTGGCGTTGGCATGTGCACGTGTGGGGCTGTGCTCTCTGCTCACAGAGAGGCGTGTGGACAACGCAGTGCATTGTGACTGGTGTCGCTTGGAGGTGAGTGATGTGTCCTTCAAGGCCACAGAGTGAGTTTTATGGACGTAAATGGAAAGGCATTTTGTTGCTTTCAAATTCCGTTAAAATGAGCCACGTTAACGTTATCAGATAGAAGCAGGTTGTCAGCTTGCGTAAACGGGAACGTGAGGCCCAGTCGGAGACGCTGGCGGTGCCCGTGACGCCCTGTTAGTGATGCTGCTGTGCCTTCGATCGCGGATGACGGCCCCCCTGGGGCTCCGGGACCGACGATCTCCCCGGGGAGCGGGAGTCCGCGTGCGGCTCTGATTTCCCCCGGGAGCCATCAGCGCCTCGCGGCCCGCATTACCACTGCTCAGCGCGCTCCGCCCCCAGTGCGAGCAGATCAATTCCCGGGGGCCAGCGACCAGCATTGTTCCGGGGCTGGACTCACCGTTCAGAGAGAGACCGTGCTTTTCCAAAAATAACTTCCCGCCCGGCCCCCGGCGACACCCCTTCTCGTCAGGACTGACCGCGCTGCCTGCAGTGGCAGCCGCCCGGCGCCGTGGCTGGGACGGCCTGGGGTCACGCCGGGTGCGGGGTCACGGAGGAGCCTCCCGACCGGCCTGTGTCACGCAGAGTGCGGGCGATGGGCTGGAGGCGCGGGTCCGTGCCCGCCCGTCTGCCTGTGAGGATGCGATGGACGGCGGTCACCAGCCCCTGGCTCACCGCGGCCTGCCGGCAGGTGACGTGTAACGAAGTGTCCGATGCCTCGGCTGCTCAGCCTAATCCCGGGTGGCAGCCCGTCCCTCAGCTGCCAGGCGCGCCCTCCGGCCTCGCCGCCCGTTCGGGGGGGCCCGGCTTAATCAGCCGGCAGCCTGCGACCTGACATGCAAATGTAGGTCATTGCATATGTAAATGCGTGATTACAGGCCCGCATGCCAGGGCACATTAGCGCGCCATCCCGGTGGCGGCTGTCACAGGCCTCGGCCGTCACGAACGCCTGCCAGTCACCCGCCGCGGGGCGGGCTCCCGCTCGCCGACGTGCACCTGCTGCCGGCCGGCTCGCACCCGGGGCCGCGGGGCCTGGTCTCGCTGCTGCAGACCCTCAGACGTACGCATCCTTAGGAGGCGCGGGCACTGACCGCCGCTCCTGGTAACACTGTGTTTAAAGTCAGGAAGCTGGAAAAGCTGGGACGGCCACGGAGTCTCTGAGCGGCGGCACCTGTGAGCTGGCTCACCGCCTGCGCCGTCCCGGACACGGTGCGGGTCCAGCCCCCCGTGACGTGTGTGTGTGCATGCTCAGCCCCGTTCTAACACGCATGTCTATGCCCAGGCCTGTCTGCTCATCGGGAGACGGAAACTCTGGATTCTCTCATGGGTCCGCAGGCCGGCCACCGTGTGGGCCTTGCTCAGGGGGTGACCCGTGGTGGGAGGGCTGTGACACCGGCGTGGCAGGCCGCGGGGACAACGTAGTGCCTGTCTGTGCAGCCCCTCCGGCCGGAGCTGGGGCCGTGCTGTGCGGGGACCGGGGTCTCTGCACCGGAGCTGGGGCCGTGCTGTGCGGGGACCGGGGTCTCAGTGCACCGGAGCTGGGGCCGTGCTGTGCGGGGACCGGGGTCTCAGTGCACCGGAGCTGGGGCCGTCCGTGCGGGGACCGGGGTCTCAGTGCACCGGAGCTGGGGCCGTGCTGTGCGGGGACCGGGGTCTCAGTGCACCGGAGCTGGGGCCGTCCGTGCGGGGACCGGGGTCTCAGTGCACCGGAGCTGGGGCCGTGCTGTGCGGGGACCGGGGTCTCAGTGCACCGGAGCTGGGGCCATGCTGTGCGGGGACCGGCGTCTCCGCGCACACCGGCGGGGGCGGCCCGGCCCATGGCTGTGCCTCGCGACTGAAGCCGCTCCGTCCTTTGCTTCCAGAAGGCCTTGCGGCCGGACATGGGCTACAACACGCTGGCCAACTTCCGGATCGAGAAGAAGATCGGCCGCGGGCAGTTCAGCGAGGTGTACCGGGCGTCCTGCCTGCTGGACGGCGTGCCCGTGGCCCTGAAGAAGGTGCAGGTAGGCGCTCCGGCCCGTCCGGGGTCAGATCGCCCTCAGGGGCGCGGACCGGCCCCGCTGCCCGGTCCCTCCCGCGGGGGCCTCCCCCGTTACCAGCGGGCAGACGGCCGGTGGGAAGTCCCTCTCCACCACGGACGGCAGCGCGTCCTGTCGCGTGGCCTGAACGCGGTGGGGGCCGGCCGTGTCTCTCCTGGTCAGCACCGTCGAGGCTGCGAGCCGAGGCCGGTGCTCCGAGTCTCAGTAACGTGCGTGCTCGGTGCCAGTGGCCCGGGGCAGGGACTCAGCAGCCCCAGGGCTGACATCCTGCAGGTTCCACAGCCACAGGCGCTGGGGGACACGCTCGGGGGGTGCACTGTCTCCTCGGAAAGTCCTGAGGAGCGGGCGTGGCGGGCAGCTCGGTCAGGGGGCTGACTTACCCAACTCCGCTCTGCTCTTAGATATTCGACCTCATGGACGCCAAAGCCCGTGCCGACTGCATCAAAGAAATAGACCTGCTCAAGGTAGGGGCCGGCCGCCGCTGACTGGTCACCTCGGGAATCGTGGAATGACTTGACGGGACGATGGGGAGGGTCAGCTCCCCTCACTTCACACTGGGAAACGGAGAGGGGCAGCGTCTGGATGCAGTGTGACAGGTGCCAGGCGTTAGCATTTTTAATTTTCTATTTGTTTTGTCTTTTAACCATGGCGGTAGCTACGCTAGGGGCAGCCCGGACTTCAGAGCAGGATAAAAGGGAGAAGGCGATTACCATTGCACGCCCTGACCTGGCAGGTCTCGGCTCGGAGGAAAGTTTTTAGCTGCTGATGAGTCCATCTTGCCATTCATTTGTAGCAGGGATAGATGACTGGACAGAATACACTTTTATTAAAACTCAGTGCCCAGTATACTCTATTATTTCTAATGAAGAACATGAAGATAAAATTAACGCATGCACTTCCTTTAACATTCCCAAGATTAAAGAAAAACACGCTGTCACGTGGCGTCTCTGTGACGTAGAGATGAAATGCAGTAGCTAACTGAGCTCTTAAGCTACCAAACTCCTGGGAATGTTTAAGGAGAGGATGTTTTCTCTCCGCAGCAACTCAACCACCCGAACGTGATCAAATACTACGCGTCCTTCATTGAAGACAACGAACTGAACATCGTTCTGGAGTTGGCGGACGCTGGCGACCTGTCCAGGATGATAAAGGTGAGGCTGCTCTCACCGCTCGGCTGTCCGGTGGGCACACTGACCGGGGACCTGCGGGATGCAGGCCGAGTGGGCCGGCCGGCTGGTGGCGGGTGTGTGTGCAAGGCGCCTGTTTCACGCCCGTGGGCACTGGTCCAGAGGCCCAGGCTGACCACGTGGCCGTACGACATGCTGTGTCCTGCTGATCCACGCTCTGCCCCCACGGGCGCTGGCGGAGCGGGGAGGGGGCTGCCTCTCGGCCTGAGACGCCCCCGAGTGCTCCTGAGCCCCCGCCCCCCGCCCCCAGTGCTCCCCACCCCCAGTGCTCCTGAGCCTCCGCCCCCCGCCCTCAGTGCTCCCCGCCCCCAGTGCTTCTGAGCCCCCGTCCCCCGCCCCCAGTGCTCCCCGCCCCCAGTGCTCCTGAGCCCCCGCCCCCCGCCCCCAGTGCTCCCGCCCCCAGTGCTCCCGCCCCCAGTGCTCCCGCCCCCAGTGCTCCTGAGCCCCCAGTGCTCCCGCCCCCAGTGCTCCCGCCTCCAGTGCTCCTGAGCCCCCAGTGCTCCCGCCCCCAGTGCTCCCCGCCCCCAGTGCTCCCGCCCTTAGTGCTCCCGCCCCCAGTGCTCCCGCCCGCAGTGCTCCCGCCCCCGGTGCTCCCGCCCCCAGTGCTCCTGAGCCCCCGGTGCTCCTGAGCCCCCGGTGCTCCCGCCCCCGGTGCTCCTGAGCCGGCGCCCGCCCTGCTGCTCCGGTGGCGGGGACAGTGCTTTATGGAGCCGCGGGCGCTGGCAGAGGGACAGGCCGCTGCAGAGCGTAAATCACCGCGTCGGCGGCACGGCCGTTCTCGGGCGGCCTAATTGGGGAGAGGAAATATCGCTCCCGGTCTGATCCGAGCGGAGCCGGGCGGCCGCGCATCAAAGCTCCGCGATGAATAATTAACGCGGCGGCCGGGTGAGTAGCCGGCGCTCCGTGTGCCTCTAATTGGGGCTCGGAGGCCCCGGGCAGGGCCGGGGCGGCTCCCGCCGGGCTCAGAGGAAAGGAGGCCGGTGTCCCCCGCCTGGTCCTTTGTCACCGGCCGTCACGGGCAGGCGGACGTGGGCACACGGACCTGTGCGCTGTGGTTCCCGTGTGTGCCTGGGCCGGGCCACGTGCCGTCACTCACTCCGCAGGGCCAGCACCCCCCGGGGGCGGCAGCCGGGCCAGCCCAGCCCCTCGGCGCTGCCCTCTGTGGTGTGAGATGACATCACGGGGGGAACCTGAGGCCGGGATCGGGGGAGGGCGCAGACTCCGTTACAGACTGGGGATTAGCCAAAGCGCCAGCAGCTCTGGGGGAGGAGGAGAGGCGGGAGCGGAGCCACTTCGGGCGTCTCCCACGCTCTTGACCTTGGACCTGAGAGCAGTGAGCGCTCCCAGCAGAGCCATCTGTCTCCGTCCTCCGCCTGGTTCACCAGGCCCTCCCGGTCCGGCGGCCGGTCAGGCGGGCGGCCGGGCAGGTCCGGAGCACGGCCAGGGCGCCCGCGCGTCTGCCCTCGAGGCTGCCGTTGGCCTTGGCGTCACCCGGAGTGGGTCCCCAGTCTTGGGTTACACCTGCCCTGGGTACGCAGGAGCCCCGTCCCCACGGCCGGCCCGCGGTCTGAGCCCCACACGGGCTGGCGCCCCGGGGGGGGGGGGGGGGGGGGCGGGGGCTGGTCCCCCGGGGGGGGGGGGCGGGGGCTGGTCCCCCGGGTGGGGGGGGGGGCTGGCGCCCCGGGGGCGGGGGCTGGGCCCGGGGGGGGGGGCGGGGGCGGGGCGGGAGGGGAGGAGCGGGGACTCTCCGGACTCACTGTCCCCCTCCCCCCCCCCAGCACTTTAAGAAGCAGAAGCGGCTGATCCCGGAGCGCACCGTGTGGAAGTACTTTGTGCAGCTGTGCGGCGCCATGGAGCACATGCACTCCCGCCGCGTCATGCACCGAGGTGGGCGCCGCCGGGCCGCCCGGACTTACCGCCAGCCGCAGCTCCGGGGGCGGGGACGGGGACGGGGACGGCGCGCAGGGGGGTCGAGGGGGCTGGGTCTGTGCTGCGCCCTCTGGGGTGCAGGGGCGCCCCGTAGTGGGGGGGTCTCCCCATAGAGGGGGTCCCCCATAGAGAGGGTCTCTCCATAGAGGGGGGTCCCCCCATAGAGGGGGTCTCCCCATAGAGGGGGGTCTCCCCATAGAGGGGTCTCCCTATAGAGGGGGTCCCCCATAGAGAGGGTCTCCCCATAGAGGGGGGTCTCTCCATAGAGGGGGGTCTCTCCATAGAGGGGGGTCTCCCCATAGAGAGTGTCTCTCCATAGAGGGGGTCTCTCCATAGAGGGGGGTCTCCCCATAGAGGGGGGTCTCCCCATAGATGGGGGTCTCCCCATAGAGGGGGGTCTCCCCATAGAGAGGGTCTCTCCATAGAGGGGGTCTCTCCATAGAGGGGGTCCCCCCAGAGAGGGGGTCTCCCCATAGAGGGGGGTCTCTCCATAGAGGGGGTCTCTCCATAGAGGGGGGTCTCCCCATAGAGAGGGTCTCTCCATAGAGGGGTCTCCCCATAGAGAGGGTCTCTCCATAGAGAGGGTCTCCCCATAGAGGGGTCTCCCCATAGAGGGGGTCTCTCCGATGTCCAGAGACTGTGGTGGCCGCTCAGGGCTCAGTGCAGTGCCAGCTGCCGGCGTCCTGGCCGGGAGTCAGGTGACGAGGCCTCACCAGGAAGAACCGCCCCGGGTGGGGGCACGGCAGTGTCAGACCCCATCTGAGCTCAGGTCCTGAGGGCCCTTGGCGAGTCCTGTGCACGGAGCTGTGGACCATGTTCCATGTCAGTGTGTCAGGAAGAGGCCGACAGTTTAAGATTCACGTGAAGGGACCCACTTCCGTACGCCCTGTGTTCCACAAGCGCTTATGGGAAGAGGGGAACATGTGTTTTAAGTGAGAATTACTCGTGTCCCGGATCATGCTGCCTCGATTTTCATTGTCTCCGAGGAGGCGGGCACAGAAACGTGAGGATGGGTAAACCCTCGGAGTCCAGCGGGCCGCGCAGGGTGCAGACAGCCTGACCGCTAGGGGGCGCGCTGAGCCGCCAGGATCGCCCCCGCCCCCTCACTCCCACCGCCTCACCTCTTTCCGCAGACATCAAGCCGGCCAACGTGTTCATCACGGCCATGGGCGTGGTCAAGCTCGGGGACCTGGGCCTCGGCCGCTTCTTCAGCTCCAAGACCACGGCCGCGCACTCGCTGGGTGAGGCCCCCCCCGGGGTCTGTGCAGCCCCTCCCAGTCAGACGGGGGCGCTCCGGGGCCCCACCCCGCCCCCTGCCCTCGCAGCCGGGCAGCCACTGCAGCTGCCGCCTGCTGACGGGAGCCCGTGTTTCGCAGTGGGCACCCCGTACTACATGTCCCCCGAGCGGATCCACGAGAACGGCTACAACTTCAAGTCCGACATCTGGTCCCTGGGCTGCCTGCTGTACGAGGTGGGTGCTCCCCGCCCGGGCCTGCACCCTGTGCCCACGGGCCTGCACCCTGTGCCCACGGGCCTGCACCCTGTGCCCACGGGGCTGCGCTGGGGCCGGGGCGCCGGGCTGCCTGCTGCACGAGGTGGGTGCTCTCCGCCCGGGCCTGCACCCTGTGCCCAGGGGGCTCCGCTGGGGCCGGGGCGCCGGGCTGCCTGCTGTACGAGGTGGGTGCTCCCCGCCCCGCTGGCCACTCCCCTGGCTCCCGGCCGTGGGCGATGGCGGAACGAGGGGAGTGTCCCTCGGTCCTCAGCTTCCACGTCGGAGCAGGTGCTCGGCTCCTGCGAGCGGGCCGTCGGGAGCTGGGGCTCTCCCAGAGTCCTGCACGTTCTGTGGCATCTGCTCCGCGTTCGGAAGGGGGGACACGGGCCTTTCCCACAGGGTCCCCCCGGATGCCCCACACGGGAGCCCCTGAAACTCGGAACGTCAGACTTTGAGATGTTCCCGAGACCTCAAATAAATCAGTGCGCCCTCGCCCCTCCAGCGCCGCCCTCATGGCCGTGCACCGAGCAGACGCTAATTAAAAGCCAGCGCCTCGGCGACAGGGACCTTTGCACGGACAGGCGTCTTACACGGGCGGAGGGTGGCGGCTCGCGTGCGAGGAGAGAGCGCGCCCGGCCCCTTCGCCCCCGGCACACTGATCGGGGCGCCGGCCGGGGTCAGGGGGCGCGTCAATCAGCCCGCGGCCGGCGGCGGAGGATCAAATTAGCCCGGACCCGCCGCCGGGAGGAGCGGGCGCAGCTGTCAGGCCCGCCGGGCGCACTAATGAGCCAGATGAATGGAGCTCCGGCTGGAAAATAAAAACAGGACGGTTGACATTTCTCATCTGTCAGAGCAGCGGATGCGTGAGCGCCGGGCCGTTAACCCCCGAGGGCCCGCTGAGGCCTGCGAGGAGGAGCCCCCGGCGCGGGCGTGGGGGCCGGGCCCGGGGACGGACCGACGGACGGACAGACGGACGATGGACAGAACCCTGTGCATGTGCAGCCCGGTCTGCCGTGTCCTGTTTACCAGGCGGCCTCCTGGCGTTTATTTTTAGCATCTTTTTTATCCATCTCAGAGAGGAAGGGAGGAGAGAGACATCAGTGATGAGAGAATCGTGGATCGGCTGCCTCCTGCACCGCACTCCACTGGGGATCGAGCCCGCAGCCCAGGCCTGTGCCCTGACCGGGAATCGAACCTGGGACCCTTCAGTCTGCAGGCCGATGCTCTATCCACTGAGCAACACCAGCTAAGGCCCTCCTTGCAGTTCGAACACAGAACACACGATGATGGTTGGAGCCCCTCTTTTAGAAATGTCCCTCCCCTCCCCCCTCTCCCCTCTCCCCTCTCCCTGGGGGCAGTTCCGGGGTGTCTGTGCAGGACGGAGGGGTCTGATGTGAGGTGCTGGCCGGGCCTCCCGCCTGCAGCACTGAAGGGGTTAACGCTGGCGGCGCAGACGGTGAGCGTTCGGCGTGGCCGTCCCCGATGCTGCTGAGGACATGTCTCACACGGGCCCGCCTGTCCCCGCGTACACGTGTCCCCGTGTACACGTGTACACATGTCCCCACGTACACGTGTCCCCGTGCGGATTTGCGCGGGCGGAAAGGGTGACTGGCTCGGGCAGCCCCGGTGCCCGCCGCCTCGCTGCTGCGCCCCAGCCGCCCGCGCGGAACGGGACGCGAACATTGGAACCGAGTCTGAGTTTGTAGCCTGCGAACCGCGTCCTCGCTGCCCGTGACGCTGATTTGAATTCATTCCTGAGGCTTTTCCCTGAGTTAAAACCTCCACCGGCCGTGGTGAGGTGGCTGAGGCGTGGCCTCTGCTGGCTCAGACGCTTCGAAGGGAGGAGAGGCCCAGGTCACTGCAGACTGAGGGTCAGGTCTGGACTCGGGGGCCCTTTCCCCGGACGGCGATGGAGAGCCAAGCCCGCCCTCCTCCCTGAGCGCCGCTGGGCCACGTCAGCTTCAGCCACGGCCTGTGTCCGCTCTGTCCCGGCCGCTCCGATGTACACGAAGCGGCCGGAGGATGATCTCTGAACGCATGATATTCCGGCCGTTCGGTGTATATCCTGTAAAATAAAAGGCTCCTATGCAAACGGTCCCCTCGACCAGGAGTGCGACCAGCAGGCAGGCCGGCCGACCGCCCACGTCCCCTCCCCCTGGCCAGGCTGGCCGGACCCCACCCGTGCCCGCACTCATACATATACTGGGCAGTCATATTATGCGTTCAGAGGTCGTCATCATCTGGCCACTCCGTGTAGACCATCTGGTTAGTCAGGAGGTAATACTAGTTGCTTTGATGGAAACTAGTTACAACGAATTTCGATTTCTTTATGTCCTTCTTCTCAGTGTCGTGTTGTACATAAATACACATACGGTAACCGTCTCTCCCTTTTGGCGGATTTTAAACGTGGAAAACTAACACCCACAAACCGCAATGAAGTCTTTGGAGTTCCCAGCGAAGGGCCGGCAGGGTCTGTCCCCGCGCCCGGCCCCGGGGAAGGCAGGGCCCCGGGAGGCGCGCTGACCACCTGGCTTCCCGGCCTTTGCAGATGGCCGCCCTGCAGAGCCCCTTCTACGGCGACAAGATGAACCTGTACTCGCTGTGCAAGAAGATCGAGCAGTGCGACTACCCGCCGCTGCCCTCCGACCACTACTCGGAGGAGGTGAGTGCCCGCCCTCGCGGCGTCTGTCCGTCCGTCCGCCCGCCTGCCCGTCCATCCGTCCATCCACCCCTCTGTCCGCCCGCCCGTCCATCCGCCCCTCTGTCCGTCCGCCCCTCCATCCGCCCGCCCGTCCGTCCCTCCATCCGCCCATCCATCCATCCCTCTGTCCGCCTGTCCGTCCATCCGTTCGCCCGCCCATCCGTCCATCCCTCCGTCCACCTGTCCGCCCATCCGCCCGCCCGCGCCCGCTGAGGCGCTCCCCTCCCCACTCGGGGCTGCAGTCCCGTGACGGGCGGCCTTTCTCCCGCTCATGCCCGGAGGCTCCTGCCTCAGTTTCCCTGCGATGGTGGATGGATGGTGTAGATGTGTTCTGTCCGCACGTAGGACCCGTTCTGCTTCTGTCGATGGGGGAACTGAGCCTCCTGCTCAGACAGCGAACCCCCGAGGGCCTCTCCGGGCGTCGATGGAGCCCGCTGGCCGCCTGCCCGTGTCCACGGCGTTGGCGTGCGGGTCATCGGCGTGAACACGCGTGGGGCGGGCGCTCCGCGGGCAGGGCAGGGCAGCCGGGCCCGGGGGCGCAGCCGGAGCCTGCCAGCGCCCTTTGTTGTGTCACTCACCGCCCCTCCTCCGGCGGCATGAATATTTCACCTCCGCCCTGCGCCCCTCGTTCCAGCCGCGTTTGCATTTCACACGCGCGGCGGGCGGTTGCCATGGTGACCTCGGCAGGATTTTAACGATGGAGCCGGTGGAGGGGGCCGCCTGCCCGTCGGGCCGAGGGCAGACACCGGGGTGCGGCCGCCTGTGGCGGGTCCCGGGCGGAGGGACCGCCCCCTCCTCCTGGGCGCCCCCTCGGCCGCTGGCCCTGCTCCCGAGGTCCCTGCTGGCCATCGGCGGGGGGGGACCGCGGAGAAGAGAGGGTGCTAGCTGCCCTCTGCTCCGCTGGGGCATCCGTGGGCATCGTAGCGCCCTCAGAGGGAGACGTGGTGACGGTGACGAGAGCATGGTGACTTGGTGATTGCACAAGCGCTGACACGCTGACCCGAGAGAGTTCATGCAGGTTTTCGAAAAATCTAGATTATTCCTAAAGCCATACGTACAAGGCAGAAGGCTCCGGCTGCTGGTGTAGACACGGCCTCTTTTTAAAACCAAGCGTGTTGGGGTGACGCTGGTTAGTAAGGCCACTAGTTTCCAGTGTGCAATGCCATGGCACGCCATCTGCCTGCCGCCCTGCGTGACCACCCCCACGCCAGGCCGCCTCCTGTCACCAGTGGTCTGACCCCTTTACCCTCTACTGCTCCCCCCGCCCCCCCATCCAGCACACTGCGGTCTGTGTCTGAGCTTTTGCTTGTTTTTCTTCTTCGTTCAGTTGTAGTTTTCAGTTCTGTGTCCCCCTCTGCGGGGAGCCACACGCTTCTCGACTCTCTCTGTCCGACCTCTCGCTCGGCAGGGCGTCCGCCAGGCCCCTCGCACGCACGCTCACCGGGAGGACTCCCTGGGCCTCCGCGGTGGGAGGAAATCTCCCCACGAGCCACGTGTGTCTGCTCAGAGGAGCGTGCGGCCAGAACGCCGCGCCCGCCCGCCCGCCCGTCTGAGCGGCCGGCGCTCAGTGCCCGCCTTCTGTCCCCGCAGCTCCGGCAGCTGGTGAACATGTGCATCAACCCCGACCCCGAGAAGCGGCCGGACATCGCCTACGTGTACGACGTGGCCAAGAGGATGCACGCCCGCACCTCGAGCAGCTGAGCGCCTGCCGCCCCTCAGCCCGGCCTCCGGCGCCGTCGGGGGGCGAGGCGGACCCTTCCCCGTCCTCAGATCAGCTTCTCCGGCCCACGCCAGCCGCCTTCTCGCCAAACCGGGACCCGGAACAACGGTGCACGATGGGAGAGGACTCGGACAGGCCGTCCTCGTGGCCGAAGGCCGTGGCCTCAGGAGCCGTCTCCCGAGGAACCGCGTTGGGACCAGCGCTCCGCGCCAAGCGCCGCGGCGCCCGGGCCTCACGAGACACCGCCTCGTGGGCCGGGCCACGGGCCTCAGCCACGGACCCGACGTGGACGCCGACGTGGACTCGGGCCGTTCCCCTTTAGAAGCTGGACTGTGTGTTTCGTCCTCGGCGCTGGGGCTTTGCAGGGCGACGGGAAAGAGAGACGTCGACATCGGCTGCTGGAGAGACACCGAGCGTTCCAGGCGTGGGCGTCAGAAGGCGCCTCTGAGACGGGAGGACGGGACAAACGGGGCAGACGCTGAAGTTCCCGCCTCGTCTGGTTCTGTGTCCGCCTGCGGCGGCCGTGAGCCACTGGGGAGCCGTCAGGCGTGGCTGGCGGAACCCTGGAGGGCGCGCTGGAGGGCTGTGTTTCTGTCGTCGTCGTACATTTGGAAATAGCCTCTAAGTAACCGCAGTGCTGTCTCCGGTCCCTTTATCCCCCCGAAGGCTCGTCACCCCGGCCGCGCTCTGGAGCGAGCGCACAGGCTTTCCATCCGGGTTTGACGGGCGCCGCATCCGTCCCGTCCGAGCACCTCCGTGTCCCCGAGCTCCCATCTTATTTATGTCCGACCGTCTCCCCCCGAGGGTCCTGCCCACAGCCTGGGCCCCGAGAGGGTTCGGGGTCCCAGCCGCGCCCAGGCGGCCCGCGTGTCTGTGTGTGTGTGTGCGTGTGTGTGTGCGTGTCTGTGTGTGAGTGTGTGTGTGCGTGCATGTGTGTGTGTATCTGTGTGTCTGTGTGTGTGTGTCTGTGTGTGTGTGTGTCTGTGTGTGTCTCTCTGTGTGTGTGTCTCTGTGTGTGTGTCTGTGTGTGTCTGTGTGTCTGTGTGTGTGTCTGTGTGTGTCTCTGTGTGTGTGTGTGTCTCTGTGTGTGTCTGTGTGTGTCTGTGTCTCTGTGTGTGTCTGTGTGTGTCTCTGTGTGTATGTGTGTGTGTCTCTGTGTGTGTGTGCGTGTGTGTGTGTGTCTGTGTGTGTGTGCGTGTGTGTGTCTGTGTGCGAGTGTGTGTGTCTGTGTGTGTCTGTGTGTCTCTGTGTGTGTCTGTGTGTGTCTCTCTCTGTGTGTGTGTGTCTCTGTGTGTGTCTCTGTGTGTCTCTGTGTGTCTCTGTGTGTCTCTGTGTGTCTCTGTGTGTATGTGTGTGTGTCTCTGTGTGTCTGAGTGTGTGTGGTGGGAGGGGAGGGAGGGGTGTGCGGGCGACAAGGCGGGTACAGCATGTGTGTGAAGGAAGGAGAGCGGCGGGGACGGGTTTGGGAGGCGGACCTCTCTGTGGCGAAGCTCCGGGCACCGCTGCCTCCGGGTACGAGGAGGGCGTGGACGCGGACGTGGGCGTGGACGGGCTCCTGGGTGCTGTGCGGGCACGTCTGTCCCCCGTGCACCCGTGGGAGCGGGGACCAGAGTGGCCGTCACCGCCAAGGGACGTTGCTACGACCTCTCTGTGACCTCGGGGTCCTTCCTCGCCCTCAGCAGGTGGAGCTGCCGGCTCTGCTTCCTGTAAGCGTTCCTCTGTGGTCCCGGCACACACTCCGTCACCTGTTCCCTTTACCCGTGAACGGCGCCCTGTGCGCCCGCCGCCCCCTGGCCGGCCCCCGCGGCCCCACCGGCGAGTGTTCGTGGGACGGCGCCGGGAGCAGGCGGCCGATCGGGGAGAGGCCGCGGGGCCTGGGGCCGTGGCTGCGGCCGGCCGCCTGCTCCCGGCCCCAGCGCCCGGCGGACGGCCGACAGGGCCCGGGCGCCCGCAGGCTGGTCCCCGCCCGGGGAGGTGGGCTGTCACCCGGGGCGTGTTCACCCAATGGCGGCGCGGCTGGTCTCTAAAACCCCGATTTCCAACGCACCGGCCGCACCCGGCCCGTCGCCTGCAGGCCCGGGCGGAGCTGAGCGCGGCTCCAGGCGCGGGGAGGGAATGGCGGGGTGCGGAGGGGCCGGGAGCGGCGTCGGACGGTCAGGGAACCCACGGTCCCTCCTACACGGGGAGCCTTCCCGTCACGGCCACGTCCCTCCCGGAGAGACCACCGCGTGGAAAGCCGGAGTCGGTCTCCAGCCGGATCGTGGCCGAAGGATCGAGAAGGCCATTGGGCGTCACAACCGGCCGTCCGATGCCGTCCTTCTCTACGTCCGTGCCTCTGAGCTGCGTACGGATCCGCCCAGACATTGGACTTGGTTGGAGGGGCAGCAAGACGGGAGGCGCCCCTGGTCCTGAGCCTGGGGGAGACCGGGGACCCTGGGAGACGTGGGGGCGTGGGGGACGTGGGTGTTGTGACGTGGATGGTGTGGGTGATGCCGATGTGTGTGCCGAGGGCGGGGTGGCGGTGGAGGGCAGCCCCCCCAAGTGCGATGCGTGTGAATTCAGGGGTGCCCCCTCGCTCCCCGCGTCCCCACCCTCCCTCCCGGTTCCCGTCCGTACCGATGTGCCTGGGCGTGGCTGTTCACGCCGACGCCATATTTATTTTAGCCAAAACGTCCCTCCTCTGCGATGCCTTCCCCTCGACAGGACTGTGTTCCGTGAGTCACCGCAAGGCCTGCCCCCGCCCCCCGCCCCCCGTGCCTCGTGCCTCGTGCCCCCGCGGCCGGGCACCCGGACTCCCTTCGAGGGAGCCTTCCCCTGTCAGCGCCCCCGACGCACAGACGGAGGGCCCCGCCATCGCGTGGAGCGTGTATCCCCTCCTCGTCCCAGCAAACACAGACGCTCGCGAAGCCGGTGCGGCTCAGTGGACGGAGCGCCGGCCTGCGGACTGAAAGGTCCCGGGTTCGATCCCGGTCAAGGGCATGGACCTCGGTGGCTGGCACATCCCCAGTGGGGGGCGTGCAGGAGGCAGCTGGTCGATGTTTCTCTCTCATCCATGTTTCTGTCTCTCTCTCCCTCTCCCTTCCTCTCTGTAAAAAACCAATAAAATATATTTAAGAAATAAATAAAAATAAATAAATGAAAACAGACGTTCAAGACGGAGCTCCGTGCGCCGGGTGTGAGTCTCTGATGTGTCCCCCCTCCCTCCACGCCCCCCGTTACTATCTCACCGACCTCGGCCTCCGGGAAAGACCGGCCTGGGCACCACTGCAGAAGCTGAGCCTCCACCTGTGAACCCGGAGGCCAGGGTTCGATTCCCGGTCAGGGCATGCGCCCGGGGGGCAGGCCCACAACTCAGGCTCGTGCCCTTGGCCGGGAACCAAACCCGGGACCCTTCCGTCTGCAGGCTGATGCGCTACCCGCTGAGCCGCACTGGCCAGGCCTGGACTTTTCCATCCAGAACCGAGACCCTCTGCCAAAGACTGACCCGGAGCGGCTTGCGCAGGCCCGGCTCCCCGAGGCGCGCCCCTCTGCCCTCGCCAACGGGACCCGCGTGCAGGGGCACGGCCCTCGGGCGGCGGGGGGGTGGGGGGCGCTGTCCGGCTCCCGGGGCCCGAGCCCACGTCCGTCCACCGGCCCCCGAGCCGCGGGGTCCCACCCGGCGCGCGGCAGGGCCTCCGTCACCGGCCTGCGTCTCCGGCGAGAGGCCGCGGAGCTGACAGCCAGTATTTCATCCCTGACACGCGATCGATGCCGGGCCTCGGAGACCCGTTAGGCCTTTACGGTAATTTACGGGGCGTCCTCGGGGTGCGGGCGGCGCCGGGGCTGTCCGTGGGCTCCCGGGGCCCAGCCGGAGTGCGGGGTTCGAGAGAGTTCCTCCCGGCCCCGGGAGAAGCCAGAGCTTCATCCCAACCGTGAAGGAGACTCGACCACCGCCCGCCCGGCCGCCGGGGCTCAGTGGTGAGCGTCCACCTAGGAGCCAGGAGGTCAGGGTTCGATTCCCGGTCAGGGTCCCAGGCCCGGGCTGGGGGCTCCATCCCCAGTGGGGGGCGTGCAGGAGGCAGCCGGTCCGTGATCCTCCCTCATCATGGACGTTTCTCTCTCTCCCCTCTGGATCAATAAAAGATGGCCGAAACCGGTGTGGCTCAGTGGATAGAGCGTCGGCCTGAAGACTGAAGGGTCCCGGGTTCGATTCCAGTCAAGGGCATGGGCCTTGGTGGCGGGCACATCCCCGGGGGGGGGGTGTGCAGGAGGCAGCTGGTCCATGATTCTCTCTCATCGGTGTTTCTAACTCTCTATCCCTCTCCCTCCCCCCCTGTAAAAAAAAGCAACAAAATATATTTAAAAAGAAAAGAAGCCGGACCCCCCTCGGGGTATGACATTGGAGTCGGGTCCGTTTAAACCATTTCTCGAGGCCAGAGATGCCTACCGGGACCTCCGCTCTCTGCTAGACAAACAGACCCCCTTCCTGACACGATAAAGCTTCACGAGGCACAGCAACCCCTTCCCCTGTCACTTCCTTCTGCATCCCCTGCACCGAGACTCCTCCTGTGGCCGCGGTCCTCCCGCCCCCTCCCTCCTCCTCCTGCTGCTGCTCCTCCTCCTCCTCCTGCTGCTCCTCCTCCTCCTCCTCCTCCCCCTCCTCTTCCTCCTCCTCTCTTCCTCCTCCTCCTGCTGCTCCTCCTCCTCCTGCTGCTCCTCCTCCTCCTGCTGCTCCTCCTCCTGCTGCTCCTCCTCCTCCTGCTGCTCCTCCTCCTGCTGCTGCTCCTCCTCCTCCTCCTGCTGCTCCTCCTCCCCCTCCTCTTCCTCCTCCTCCTCCTCCTCTTTCTCCTCCTCCCTCCTCCTCCTCCTCCTGCTCCTCCTCCTCCTCCTGCTGCTGCTCCTCCTCCTGCTGCTGCTCCTCCTCCTCCTCCTGCTGCTCCTCCTCCTCTTCCTGCTGCTCCTCCTCCTCCTGCTGCTGCTCCTCCTCCTGCTGCTCCTCCTCCTGCTGCTGCTGCTCCTCCTCCCTGCTGCTCTCCCCTCCTCTCCCTCCCCCCCTCCTCTCTCCTCCCTCCTCCCTCTCCTCCTCCTCTCTCCTCCTCCCTCCTTCCTGCTCCCCTCTCTCCTCCTCCTCCTCTCCTCTCGCCTCTCTGCCTCCTTCTTCCCCTCTCTCTCCTCCTCCTCTTCTCCTCTCATCCTCCTCTCTCCTCCTCCTCCTCTTCCTCCTCCTCTCTCTCCTCTCCTCCCTCTCCTCCTCTCCTCTCCTCCTCCTCCGCCTCCCTCCTCTCCCTCCCTCACCTCTCCCCTCCTCTTCCTTTCCTCCTCCTCCTCCTCTTCCTCCTCCTCCTCCTCCTCCTCCTCCGGCCTCCCTCCTCCTCCCGTCCCCTCCCTCCTCCTCCTCCTCCCCCTCTTCTCCCTCCTCCTCCTCCTCCTCCTCTAGGCTGGTCTGCCCCGCTGCCCTCTGCCTCTCTCACCCTCCCGCCCCCTCGGCCCAGCCCGCCCCCGGCAGCCTGTGTCAGCACACGCGCCCGCCGAATGCATACGTATGAGGCTCGGCGCCTTACGGCTCCGCGGGGCCCATAAACAGCACGGGAAGTGGCCATCGAGCGTCTCAACGGCCCCCCCAGGAGAACACGTCGCCGGGAATAAATTTGGGGGAACAGGGCTCATCGGTGGGAACGGAACCTGGAGGAGGCACACGCAGGAGGCGGGAGAGGAGAGAGCACGTGGGTCCCCGCCCTGCGCCAAGGCCTGGGGCATTTTATTTTATTATTATTATTATTTTTAAAATATATTTTATTGTGTGTGTGTGGTTTTTTTTTTTACAGAGAAGAAGGGAGAGGGATAGAGAGTCAGAAACATCGATGAGAGAGAACCATCCATCAGCTGCCCGCTGCACACCTCCTACTGGGGATGTGCCCGCCACCAAGGCACGTGCCCTTGACCGGAATCGAACCCGGGACCCGTCGTCAGTCCACAGGCCGGCGCTCTGCCCACTGAGCCACACCGGCTTCGGCTGCCCCGGGGCATTTTAAACTTCCGAATGGGCCTGGGCGCTTCAGGTTGGGAGCAGAAAGGATGCTCCGGGCGGGTGGGACATGAGTGTGCACCATCCGGAGAATCGTAGCAGGGCGCGTCGCATTTGGCCGTCATCAGGATGTTTCTGAAAAGGCCAGGAGACGGCCCGCACAGACGGATGGACAGGAACAGGCTCGGAGACAGGGAGCCACGGCTCAGGCGGCCGGACCTCAGAGGGAGGGTGGGGTGGGGAGGGGAAAGAGATCATGCAAAGGCCCTGCGTGCACGCCTGGGAGCCTGACCAGTGGTCACGGACAAGGGGGCGGTGGGGGCGTGAGGGGGGAGGGCTGGGGGCTGGGAGTGGGGGGATGAGGACAGATATGTGGTGCCTCAATCCAGTGTTTCCCAGACCTCTGACACACGTGTCCCCCTTCTACAATTTTCGTAACGCCGAGCACCCCTCGTCCTCACGAGAACGTAGAATCAGGCGCAGCTGAGCGCGGTGCAGGCCGTGCGTATCCCCGCCAGACCCCGGTGCAGGCGGACCCCCACCAGACGCTTCCCGCACCCCCGGGGCGCGCACCGCACTCCGGGGGGGGCCCTCGCGGGCCGGGCGCCCTGGCTTGCCCGGACCTTCACGGCGAGGCGGCTCCACGGCGTGCGGCTCCCTCCGTTCCCGCCCCCGGGCCCCCGCGCAGCGCACCGGCCGGATGAACAGACACACGGGCCCGTTCGCGCCGGGTTTGGGGGCTCCACACGAGGCGCACGTGTGGGAAAGGCGGGGCCCCCTCTCCTCCGTGTGCGTGGGGGACGGAGCCGGGGCGCCCGGGAGGCACGGGAAAGGCTGTTATTTAACCGGCTTCGCCCCGCGCGGGAGGCGCTGACGTTGTCCTGCAGAGCAGCCGCCAGGGGCTGCTGGGGCGGCGTGAGAGAGCGGGGCCCGGGGCCCGGGGCCCGGGGCCCGGGGACCGGGGACCGAGGGTAAAAGAGACGAATGAGCCCTGGCCAGCCGGGCTCCGAGGACGGAAGGGTCCCTGTTATTTATTTATTTTTTTTTTGGTGTGTTTTTAAAAAAATGTATTTTATTGCCGAAACCGGTGTGGCTCAGTGGTTAGAGCGTCGGCCTGCAGACTGAAAGGTCCCGGGTTCGATTCCGGTCAAGGGCATGGACCTTGGTTGCGGGCACATCCCCGGCAGGGGGTGTGGAGGAGGCAGCTGGTTGGTATTTCTCTCTCATCGATGTTTCTAGCTCTCTGTCTCTCTCCCCCTTCCTCTCTGTAAAAAATCAATAAAAAAATACGTATATATATTTTTAAAAATTTATCTTATTGCCAAAACCGGTTTGGCTCAGTGGATAGAGTGTTGTTGGCCTGTGGACTGAAGGGTCCACAGACACACACACACAAGGAGACACATACATGCACACACATGTACATACAGACACACGCATGCACACACGCACACAGAGACACACAGAGACACATATGTGCACACACATACACAGAGACGCACACACAGAGACACATGAACACACAGACACACACGCACACGCACACAGAGACACATACATGTGCGCGCACACACACACACACACACACAGGCTCCCTGGGCCATCAGGTAGCCAAGGAGACTGGTCTGTCTGAAACCAGGCCAGCCCGCCAGCCGGTGTCTGACTTTCTCTCTCTCATCAGCCGCCTTCGGGGGCAGATGGGATGGTTTTGTGTTTGAGCCACAGGAATTCCCACCCCAATTTCCCTCCTCAACCCCAAGTCAAGGATGCGTGTACCCCCCCTTCCCCCCACCCCCGTCCGGAACTTAACCGGCAGCGGTGGCTTCGTCCACAGCCTCTCCCTAAGGGTCTGTGGGGCCAGCAGCCCCCCAAGGACCGTTCCCACCTTCGCTGTCTTCTCTTCCCACGCTGGGGCCGGCCGGTGGGCTCCAAGTTAAGCGAGTGCGCAGCGCCCTCTCGTGTTGGGAGACGGAATGGCGGCGCCCGTGGTGGTGGGGAGAGGGGAGGTCCCTAAGCCGGAATGGGGCTGGGATTCCTGCTCCCGTTCCTGCCTGGGACATCGCCCTCGGGGTCAGCTGGGGGGGGGGGCCTGGCCCAAGGGGTGAAATGAAGCCACAAATAGCGACACAACGGCAGAGCCCGAGAGAGAGGGCCCAGCTTTATTGTGCATTTTACGTTTTTCTTATTAACGTAAGAGGGTATTTCCCCCCATTGATTTTTAATGGGGAACGGAGCGGGGAGGGGAGACACACCCAGAGAGAAACATGGAGGAGAGAGGGACAGGTCATCCGGCTGCCGCTGGCGCTGGAGCCATGATTCTCGCTCATCATGATGTGTCTCTCCCCCTCTCTCTCTCCCTCTCTCCTCTCTCTCTCTCTCTCTCCTCTCCTCTCCTCTCCTCTCTCTCTCTCTCCCTCTCTCTCTCTCTCTCTCTCCCCTCCCTCTCTCTCCTCTCTCTCTCTCTCCTCTCTCTCTCCCTCTCTCTCTCCCTCTCCCCCCCTTCCTCTCTGTAAAGATCAGTGAAATGTATATTTTTAAACCCCACAAACCGGGAGCCGTGAGCAGGCGGCGGCCGGGGGCGGCCGTGCGGCCTCAGTCGCTGGCCCTGAAGTTGAGGTGCACCCTCGGCTCCACCGCGCACACCGTGCCCAGCAGCCGGGCCAGCACGGCCTCGGCGCAGCGGCCGTAGCTCCCGGTCAGCTCCGCGATGCTGGCCCGCGCCTGCGCCTCCGCCTCCTCCGCCAGGCTGCTCTGCGAGCCCAGGGCCTGCGGACACGGACAGGGTCACGGGACGGGGTCACAGGACGGGGTCATGGGACGGGGTCATGGGACGGGGACACGGGACAGGGACACGGGACAGGGACACGGGACAGGGACACGGGATGGGGACACGGGACGGGGACACGGGACAGGGACACGGGACAGGGACACGGGACGGGGACACGGGACAGGGACACAGGACAGGGACACGGGACGGGGTCACGGGACGGGGTCATGGGATGGGGTCATGGGACGGGGACACGGGACAGGGACACGGGACAGGGACACGGGACAGGGACACGGGACGGGGTCATGGGACGGGGTCATGGGACGGGGTCTCGGGACGGGGTCACGGGGCAGGGACACGGGACAGGGACACGGGACGGGGTCACGGGACGGGGTCATGGGACAGGGACACGGGACAGGGACACGGGACGGGGACACGGGACAGGGACACAGGACAGGGACACGGGACGGGGTCACGGGACAGGGACACGGGGCGGGGACACGGGACAGGGACACGGGACGGGGACACGGGGCGGGGACACGGGACAGGGACACGGGACGGGGTCATGGGACGGGGTCATGGGGCGGGGACACGGGACGGGGACTCGGGACGGGGTCATGGGACGGGGTCATGGGACGGGGTCTCGGGACGGGGTCATGGGACGGGGTCGTGGTGGCACACGGCCCCGGGGGAGCCCGCTCTGGCCCCGTTTCCCCCGAGATGCCCCGTGATGTGTGCACGTCCCAGGTCACACGCAGCGTTTCCCCCGAGGATGGGGGCGACCCCAGGGTCACCAGGGGGTGGGGTCCCCCCCGGCAGGTCCCCGCTGCTTCCAGAGCTGACCTCCGCCCCCGGGAAAAGCAGATGTGGGTTCAGCTCCTCACCCCCTGTTTATCCCCAAGGGCTGTCACTTTTGTTTTTATTTTTTAAATGTATTTGATCGCCCTCACCAGCGCGGCTCAGTGGATAGGGTGTCGGCCTGCGGACGGAAGGGTCCCGCCCACCCAGGCCCGGTGCTCACCTTGGACTCCTTCCCCCGGAACTCCCTGTCCCTCCGCAGCCGGTACTGGTCCGCCTCCGCCAGGGCCTCCTCCTTCGCCTGCCGGATGCGCTTGGCTTTTCCTGGAACCAACAGGCGGAGAGGCCGGGGCACGGCTCTGTCAGACCCGGGGAGTTTCAAGCTTGTTTCTCAGACATACGAGGGGTGTGCTGGGTTATTTTATTTTTAAAAAGATACACGTCATTGTGATCTGGCCGCTCCGTGTACGTTAAAAAAGTCAGACCTCTTTCTGCCTAAGCCTGACGCCCAGGAGCAGCTCTTTTCCTTCTCGGTACCAGCTGTGACCACCGGGGGGCACACGTTCAGGGTGACGCGCCACTGTCTGGCCACCGAGTCCCTACAAGGTCGTCCAGCTGCACCAGGCCGAACCTTCTGAGATTCGGTTTAAAAAACCGGGGCTCTCTCATACATCATAGCTTTTTCTTTTCTTTTTTTATTGTTCTTTTCCTTCTTAACATTTAAATTCTTTGTTGTGTAAAGTATAACATACGTCTCCTTTCCCCCCTACCCCATTGACCTCTCCCCGGCCTCCCCCTCCCCCTCTTTTTTTTTTTTTAAAGAGAAGAAGGGAGACAGAGAGAGAGAGAAACATCCACGATGAGAGAGAATCATGGACCGGTTGCCTCCCGCACGCCCCACCCTGGGGATCGAGCCTGCCACCCGGGCCTGTGCCCTGACCGGGAATCGAACCCTGACCCCCTGGTTCACAGGTCGATGCTCAGCCCCTGAGCCACGCCGGCCGGGCCATCGTGGCTTTAAATACCACTCGGGCCTCAGGAGGTTTCCACCTGCTGCTTCCGCCCTCACTCCCCGAGCAAACAGGCACCGGCTTCCCGGTGCAAAGCCACCCCGGGGGGCGGGGACGGCGGCCAGCGCTGGGGGAGCAGCACCTCGCCGGGAAGCAGCTCGGACCTCGGAGCTGGGGCCGCTTTATCTCACCCGTCTGCTCCTCTCGCCTTCCCGTGGCTTCTCCTTTCCTCCGCTTCTCTTTCTTTCTTTTTTGTAAAAAAATATTTTTAATCGATTTTTGCAGAGAGGAAGGGAGAGGGATAGAGAGTCGGAAATATTGATGAGAGAGAAACATTGACCAGCTGCCTCCTGCACGCCCCCCACCGGGGATGTGCCTGCAATGGAGGGCCATGCCCTTGGCCGGAATCGAATCTGGGACCCCTCAGTCCGCAGGCTGACGCTCTATCCACTGAGCCACACCTGTGAGGGCTGTACTTTCCATATATATATATATATATATATATGTATATTAGTTGTTGTTGTTGATTTTTTACAGAGAGGAAGGGAGAAGGATAAAGAGTCAGAAACGTCGATGAGAGAGAAACATCCATCAGCTGCCTCCTGCGTGCCCCCTACTGGGGATGTGCCCGCAACCAAGGTCCATGCCCTTGACCAGAATCGAACCCGGGACCCCTCAGTCCAAAGGCTGATGCTCTATCCACTGAGCCACACCGGTTTCGAGAAAAAAAAAAATATATATATATATACACACACACATTCTTTACTGTGTAAAGTACAACATATGTCTACCTATCTAAAGTATAACGTATATATGTCACATAACATATTTAAATATAGCTATATGTTTAAGAATATACACCGTGAGCGGTTTCTGTCGCTCCAGGCGGCATGTAACCCAGTGGCATTTACTGGCCGGTGAGCACGTCTGCGGCGGCGGTTTTCCTGGGGCCCCCTGGGCGGACGGGAGCCCCGCCATGCCCGGAGCCGCCCCTTTGTCTGCGGCCGAAGGAAGGAGCGGCGTTTACGGGCCCACAAACCTCGGAAGACGGGCCGCCGCGTCCCCCAGAGCCGCGTCTGGTTTACGAGTTTGTTAAGCCTTGTCTTCCCGAGGCCAAGCGCCCGCCGGCCCGGGGTGGGGGCTGATTGGATCCAGGGGCCGGAGGAAGTGCCTCAGAAGACCTGCCCATTGGGGAACAAATAGGCAATTAGCTGATTTAAGGGGGAGAATGAAAAGAAAGCGTGCCGCATTCCGGAGACGGTGGAAACGGGTCCTCTGGGGGAGAGGAGATCCTGGCCGGCGGGGCTCCGGGGCTGAGCATCGACCTGTGAGCCAGGAGGCCAGGGTTCGAGTCCCGGTCAGGGCACAGGCCCGGGGGTGGGCTCCCTCCCCAGAGTGGGGCGTCCAGGAGGCAGCCGGTCCGTGATTCCCTCTCATCACGGATCTCTCTCTCTCTCTCTCTCTCTCTCTCTCTCTCTCTCTCTCTCTCTCTCTCCCCCCCCCTCTCTCTCTCTCCCCCCTCTCTCTCTCTTCCCTTTCCCTTCCTGGCTGACATCAATAAAAACAAATTTTAAGAACATAATAAATAAAGTAAATGAAGTCGAACAGACGGAAAGGCTCTCTGGCAGCTGGGCATCTAATTCAATCCACCATCAGGGAATCAGAGCGAATACCCGAGCTTTGCTTTTTTTAGGAAAAAAAAAATATTTTTATTAATTTCAAGGAGGAAGGGAGATAGAGAGAGAGAGAAACATCCCTGACGAGAGAGAATCGTGGACCGGCCGCCTCCTGCACGCCCCGCCCTGGGGACGGAGCCCGCACCCCCGGCCGGTGGCCTTGGCCGGGAATCCGACCGTGACCTCCTGGCTCCTAGGCCGACGCTCTGCCACGGAGCCCCGCCAGCCGGGCAGGTATCTGAGCGTTTCCAGTCATCTTACTGGAAGCGGCCGGGTCTCTCTGCTTACAGGAAAAGGTGACTCAGAACTGGCAGCAGTTGTTAAAAAAAAAAAAAAAGACTGAAACTAGAATATTCTGCTCCATTCTTCCATTGCTATTACTTCTATTCCTTACAGTAACGTACAAGCAAACGGTTCGAATGTTCAACAATAACTGTTGCCCTGGTTGGGTTGGCTCAGTGGTTAGCCTTCAAGGGCAGGCACCTGGGTGGCAGGTTCGATCCCAGGCCGTGGTGAGGGCAACCAATCGACGTGTCTCTCCCACATCCATGTCTCTCTCTCTCTCTCCCCCCTCCCCCCTCCCTAACACTCTCTCTAAAATCCGATGGAAAAAATATCCTCGGGTGAGAATTTAAAACAAACAAACACCCAACTATTCGGTCTGCAATCTGCTATCTCAGCTGCAAGTCTTCCGTTCCTTGGCACGCCTTGGCCGTGTGTTCGTTTTACAAAAAGAAAAGATAGAAGCTCCGAGACGCCAATGAATGTCTACGGCTGAAATCGATGTGGCTTAGTGGATAGCGCGTCAGCCTGCGGACTGAAGGGTCCCGGGTTCGATTCCGGCCAAGGGCATGGACCTTGGTTGCGGGCACATCCCCGGTGGGGGGTGTGCAGGAGGCAGCTGATGGGTGTTTCTCTCTCTCTCCCTCTCCCCTCCTCTCTGTAAGAAAGCAATTAAAAGAAAAAAAAAGAGAAATATATATATATATATATAAAAACCCTTAAGTTAGCCGAAACCAGTTTGGCTCAATGGATAGAGCGTCGGCCTGCGGACTGAAGGGTCCCGGGTTCGATTCCGGTCAAGGGCATGGACCTTGGTTGTGGGCACATCCCCAGTGGGGGGCGTGCAGGAGGCAGCTGATCGGTGACTCTCCCTCATCGATGTTTCTAGCTCTCTGTCCCTCCCTCCCTTCCTCTCTGTAAAAAAAAATCAATAATATATATATTTTTAAAAAACCTTACATGCGTAGAAAGAATCATTTTAGGAAAAGCCAATGCTTCTTGTGCTCTGTGACCTCACCGCCCTGCCTTTCAGCCCTGGTAACGGTCCTCTGCTGCCTTCTGCCCGCCCCCACCCCCCTTCTCTCTCCCCGAGGCTGGTGCCCGTCCGCTCCCGCCGGCTCTGGTTCCTCCGGGTCCGGCGTCCACACCGCCCGCCCCGCCCGCCGGCCCCGGCAGGAGGGCTGAGGCGGCCTCCGGGGCGAAACCCGTTAACATGTTTGCAGCGTCGCATACCGACGCTGCACCTCGTTAATCTGCGTTTCTCTGAAACGGTTAACATGTGGATCTCCCTCTGTCCGAGCCGCCCCCCCCCCCCCTCCGTCTCCATCTTCCTTCTCTAACTGTACATTCCAGCCTTCACCCCCCTCCGCCCCAAGGCCTGGGGCGGGGGGCGGGCGGGCCAGAAGGGGTCCCTGAGGGAGAAAGGGCGGGGGGGATGGTGTCATAGGTAATACTTCCAACAAGAAAGAACTTTTTTAAAGTAAAAAGAAAAAAAGAAAGACAAAGGAAAAAAAAATAGAGAGGACTGGGCAGGCCTTCCAACAGCTGGGCCTGAGAAGGAAGAGGGAAGCCTAGCCGGGCTGGCTCAGTGGTTAGAGTGCTGGCCCGGGGACTGAAGGATCTCAGGTTCCGACTCTGGCCAAGGGCATGGGCCTGGATGGCAGGATCGACGCCTGGGCCCGGGGCGGGGTGCAAACATCTCTCACATCGATCTCTCTCTCTCTCCCTCTCTCTCTCTCTCTCTCTCTCTCTCTCTCTCTCTCTCTCTCTCTCTCTCTCTCTCTCTCTCTCTCTCTCTCGCCTTTCACAAGCTTGCGACACGGCAGGGGCGTGGGGCCCTCAGGAAGTTGCAGAGTCGGGGGAAGCCCAGCTCCCGTAACTTCCACGTCCTGGGGTATTTCACAGCCTCTCAGGAGGATCCAGGTCAGAGACCTCTGTCCCCATGACCGCCCGGGCCACAGCATCACCGGGGAAGGGCCGGGACCCCCGGGCCCGTGGCTGAGGCCCCCGCCCGCCCCCCGCCCGCCCCGCGCAGCCACGGGTCCCAGGCCCTCCCGGGCGGCGGGCAGGGGCACTCACGCTTCTTGGCCTCCTCCAGCTTCTCCTTGGCCCGCTTCTCCGCCTGGAGCAGCTGGTGGATGCCCTGGGACTGGCTGGCCATGGCGTCCGGTCAGGTGCCTTCTGTGGATTCTTCTGTGGATTCCGGGAAGGGCACCCGGTCCTTATCCGGCTGGAGCTCACGGCCCCTCTGTTTGGGGTGTCAACATCAACACAGCTTTGGACTGGATGGGGCCGGAGGAGGGGAGAAGGGAGAGCCGAGCCCCAAGGGGAGCCCAAGGGCAGAATCCGGACAAACAAGCCTGGTCTCTGGCGAGGAAGCTGTCATTTCTTTCTTTCTTTTTTTTTTAATGTATTTTTTTTATTGATTTTTTTTACGGAGAGGAAGACAGAGGGAGAGAGAGTTAGGAACATCGATGAGAGAGAAACATCGACCAGCTGCTGCCTCTTGCACGCCCCCCCACTGGGGATGTGCCCGCAACCAAGGTCCATGCCCTTGACCAGAATCGAACCCGGGACCCTTCAGTCCGCAGGCTGACGCTTTGCCCACTGAGCCACACCGGTTTCGGCAGGAAGCTGTCATTTCTAGCGACCTCAGCCCTTGCTTCTCCCTGGGGCTGCCTCTGCTTCTGATCGTCACCTCTTCCCCCCTCCCTGCACCCCCAACCCCCCCCCCCCCCCCGGAAAGCGGGACCTGCCTGGGGGGTCTGTTCTCCCCGGGACAAGGCCTTGCTCTGGGCTCAGTCTGGGCCAGCAGTCAGCAAGCTCATCCGTCCACAGAGCCAAACATCAACAGGACCACGACGGCCATGTCTTTGGAGAGCCGCGTTTTTTAGACGTGAACTCTGTAGCTTAGGTACCTTGTGATGAACTGAGCGAGGGCACTTCTAAGCTGGCCTTTGCTAAGAGCTCAGGGGACCCAAGAGCCGCGGTTTGCCGATCGCGGGTCCGGGGGCTCTGGTGGAAGGGTGTCGGCTCGGCTGCTAGGGACTCGGTGATTCCCGCGGACACAGCCATTCACTCGGCTCTGGCTCAGAGGGCGTGTCCTGGCTCCCACCTGCCGGGGGGGATGGGGGGCGCCGAGGAGGGCCCTGTTCTCTGGCGGTGCGGTGGGTTCGAGTCCCAGGGGGCCATGCGGGTGGCGACGGAGTCGGCCCTCAGGGCATCAGAGCTGTAGGTGCTGCGGTTCCATCGAAATCACCTGCACATACGTAGCCCTGGCTGGAATGGCTCAGTGGTTAGAGCGCCGACCTGCGGACTGAAGGGTCCCGGGTTCGATTCCGGTCAAGGGCACAGGCCTGGGTTGCGGGCTTGGTCCTCAGTAGGAGGTGTGCAAGAGGCAGCCGGTCCATGGTTCTCTCTCATCATGGATGTCTCTCTCTCTCTCTCTCTCTCTCTCTATCTCTCTCTCTCTCAATCTCTGTCTCTCTCTGTCTCTCTCTCTCTCTCTCTCTCTCTCTCTCTCTCTCTCAATCTCTGTCTCTCTCTGTCTCTCTCTCTCTCTCTCTCTCTCTCTCTCTCTCTCTCTCTCTCTTCTTTTCCATTCCTCTCTGAAATCAATAGAAAGATATTAAAAAATAATAATAATAGAAATAAAAGAATATATTTTACATTATATATATATATATATATATATATGATATGAGGCGGTCATTATAATTTTCAGTGATGAACTGAGTGTTCAGTTATCCATCTTTACGAAGATTCCGAGGGTCAGAGGGCTGTGTTTGTCGGAGGAGACAGAGAGATGGGCACATTACTCTCAGTCCCTGTGTGACACAGGAAGTGCCCGAATCTGGCTGGTGTGTACCAGGCCGCCCACTCTTTGATTCTCTTTCCTAAATACTCGGATATTTCTTCTGTATTCCTGCAAAATGAAAAAAAAATAAATTAAAAAATAGCGAACGTTGAATGTTTTGAATAGCTATAATTAAAGTGTAGCCAGTCTCAGGGTATATCTACACACATTTTTTTGGTTTCTCTTTTTTGAAGTTTCGTTTCTACTCAGACTTCCTCTTATTCCCTCATCACCTCTGCTGGTGGCTCTCAGATGCTCCTTCCTCTTTGCTCTGTCAGTGTGGCCCTGGGATCTGAATCATAGCCCACAGGAGATTCATTCCTCGTTCCCCCGAGGCCAAAGCTTCGAGGGATTTTTAAACCGTGAACTTCGACCTCGTAGGACAATGCCAGGCCCAGCTGGTTGCCTCCAAGGGTGCAGTTATAGCTGAGGAGTGATCTACATGGACGCATCGTCATCTGGCCACTCAGTGTGTGTCCTATAGAATAAAAGGCTCCTATGCAAATGGTCCCTCAACCAGGAGTGCGACCAGCAGGCAGGCCGGCCGACCGCCCACGTCCCCTCCCCCTGGCCAGGCGGGCCGGACCCCACCCATGCACGGATCCATGCACCGGGCCTCTGATATATAATATATATACACGGAGTGAGGCGACAGCCGATCCGTGATTCTCTCTCATCACGATGTTTCTATCTCTCTCTCCCTCTCCTTCCTCTCTGAAATCAATATAAATATTTTTAAGCTGCTCGATGGTCTCCTCTGCGGTGGTTTTCCCAGGCCTCCTGTTCCAGTCTTACCAGCGTAAGGAGATCAGGCTCACAAGCTGGGAACTGTGGCGAAACAGGGACAAGCCGCCATCTTTTTTCCGACCATCCAATATATATATATTTTTAAGAAGAAGAAGAAGGAGGAGAAGAAGGAGGAGGAGGAGGAGAAAAAGGAGGAGGAGGAGGAGGAGGGGAGGGGAAGAAGGAGAAGGAGAAGAAGGAGGAGGAGGAGGAGAAGAAGGAGAAGGAGGAGAAGGAGAAGGAGAAGGAGAAGGAGAAGGAGAAGGAGAAGGAGGAGAAGGAGAAGGAGGAGAAGGAGAAGGAGAAGAGAAGAAGAAGAAGAAGAAGAAGAAGAAGAAGAGAAGAAGAAGAAGAAGAAGAAGAGAGAAAAGGAGAAGGAGGAGAAGGAGAGAGAGAGGAGAAGAGGAAGGAGGAGAAGGAGAAGGAGAAGGAGAAGGAGAAGGAGGAGAAGGAGAAGGAGAAGGAGAAGGAGAAGGAGAAGGAGAAGAAGAATAATGCTGGTGTCCTTCCAGGTGGGTGGAGTGAAGGAGCAGACATGACCTTGACCGCCTTTCAGACACCACGGAGCACCGAGGACTAATCCTCCATCCTTTAGAGCACACACCCACACACACACCCACACACACACACACACCCACCCACCCACACACACACCCACACACACTCCCACACACACACACACACACACACACACAACACATACACACACACACACTCTCACACACACAGGTGCTTCAGAGGAGCTGATGGGACCGGCGTGCCTCCGCACGGGGCCGAGAGGAGGCTGGACCGGCACTGGGCGGCTCCGGACAGCTTCCTCCAGCGGGAGCCGCCCGGATCGCCCCCGGACCCGCCCCCAGAGGCCCACCGCCCTCCCCAGGGACGGGGAAGCGTTCGATGCTGCAACGGGAACCTGACGGGAGGCGTTCAGCCATTGTGCTGGGGACGAGGAGAAAACTCCTGTTCGCACGGCCTCTGCTGGCCCCGGCGCCTTCAAGGTCTCCTTGACTTGTCCTCGGAGCGGCCAGCTGAGTGTGATCTCTGGACGCACAATCACATGGCCGCTCAGTATATACGGCGAGCCGAGACCGGTGTGGCTCAGTGGACAGAGCGTCGGCCTGTGGACTGAAGGGTCCCGGGCTCGATTCCGGTCAAGGGCGTGGACCTTGGTGGCAGGCACATCCCCAGTGGGGGGTGTGCGAGAGGCAGCTGATGGATGATTCTCTTCCATCGATATTTCTAACTCTCTCTCTCTCTCTTCCTCTCTGTAAAAATCAGTTAAAAAATATATATTTTAAAAAATATATGTATATACAGTGAGATGGGAGGGGCTCGTTTCTCCTGCCATCGCCCCCCCGCTCCTCGGCCCCGCTTTCCAGGAAATGGGCGAGGAAGCTCCAGATGGGACCCCTCCAAGGTGGTTCCTGGAGGAGAAACGGGATGGAGGCTCCCAGCACTGGAACCGTGGGTGGGGAGTGGCTGGGGCTGCCCCCGGGGGCCTGGTGGGGTCCCAGCGGCCCCGGGGGGGGGGGGGGGAGGACGACTCAGGACATCACGAGGTCGGGAGCAGGGGGTGTTCCCAGCCTGTGGTATAGAGAAGCGAGACTGCTGTGCACACCATTGCCGCCCGGCACTTCTCTTACTAGAAGCTCTGGTCCCGGAGGCGAGGGGCAGGCGGTGTTCCTCTTTCTTCCGCTCTCCCCCCCTCCCCCCCCCCCGCCCCTCCGCCCAGGCTGCCCGGGGCCGGGCTATTTTCAGCCTTCCAGGGCTGCCCCCCGCGCTCCGGGCGCCCAGTTCCTCCTTTATGGGGTGGGAGACGGGGAGGAGGGAAGAGCGACTGAGTTTCCCACCACTGACCTCCGTGAGAAGGGGGACGGGGTCAGAGGACAGTGCCGGGGACAAGACCCAGAGCCTCTGCCAAAACCGGTGTGGCTCAGTGGATAGAGCGCCAGCCTGTGGACTGAAGGGTCCCGGGTTCGATTCTGGTCAAGGGTTTGGACCTTGGTTGTGGGCACATCCCCAGTGGGGGGGGGGTGTGTGTGTGTGTGCAAGAGGCAGCTGATGGATGATTCTCTCTCATCGGTGTTTCTAACTCTCTATCCCTCTCCCTTCCTCTCTGTGAAAAACCAATACAATATATTAAGAAAAAAGAAAGCTCAGCATAGCGTGCGTGGGGGCTGGGCTGTTGACAGTGGCCAGCGCTGCTCTGGAGTCTAATTCTGCCCTTGATTCTGCTCGGCGTCCTTGGGGAAGTGAGTTCACTTCTCCGTTTCTCAGGCCCCTCAGCTGTGAAGTAACAGCGCTGTGAGGACGCAATGATTCGATGGATGGGAAGCATTTACACAATGTCTAGGGCATCGCAAATTTAGTTATCATCTATCTCATCTATCCTATCTGTCTATCTATCTATCTATCATCTGTCTATCTATCTATCTATCTATCTATCTATCTATCATCTGTCTATCTATCTATCTATCTATCTATCATCTGTCTATCTATCTATCTATCATCTGTCTATCTATCTATCTATCTATCCTCTGTCTAACTATCTTAACTAGCAACTAACTAGCAGCCCGAGCACCTGGAGGCACCCTGGGTGTGGCTGCCTGCGGGAAGGGTATGAAGAGCT